AAGGACTCAAAGCTCCCTCCGTGGACAGCCGTTTCCCAGGAGAAATCAACCTGCTTGACTCCCAGCATCAAACACACCCCCACCCCCGCTTGAGTCGGCTGCGCTGCAGAGCACACCACTGGGCTCTGACACCTTTGAATGAAAGCGATGCCAAGCCCGCTCAATGAACCAAATGTAGACCAAGTGGGGCCAGATCATGGCTCACAGTCTTCAGAAGGACACTGACAGTGTTTGCTAAAGGAAGGCAACCCAGAGCTCACATTATAAGATGCAGAGCCAACTGTGATGTGAGTCTGAAGGACACAAATCTTTCCAGGCAACTGCAGAGTTAAAATGTGTCTCTCAGCCTCTTGCTACTACAAAGTCAAGTGAAGAAAGATGAAGAGGAGATGAGTCTGGGCAGACTCAGCTCTCCTCCCTCCCTGTCTCCTGCTGTGGCCTTGACCGAGCTAAGGGGACCAGGGGCAGCTAAGGGGACCAGATGACACTGGGGTTTGGTGTTTGTGTTAATAGAGTTGCTGATAGATGTTCTCTCAGGTGCTTACTCTAAAGTCTTGACATTGGGATTTGAGGTTGCATTCAGCTCTGTGCTGGCTGCTAATGACATACCAACAGATTTTTACCCTCACCACCACCACCTGCCCCTTCTCCCTCTCCCCTCCCCCACCTTTCCATTCCTCATTCCTTTTTAGTTTCTAAATCTATTAATGCCTATTCCTCTTTGGCTTTCACTGCAATTTTGTTCCTTGCTGTGGGTCAGAAAAACATGTGTCTCTGAATAAGCCAACATATTCTCCTCTACCAGGAGCTTCCCTGCCTTCCAGGGTAGCTAACAGAGTTTTCTACAATTTTCAGAAGCTTTTCTCTCTCCCTCCTGGGCCAGCAGTCCTGGAGATGAGGAGTCCAACAGTTCAGAAGCCTGAAATGATAGGTGAGGTGGATGCAAGGGATTAAGGTCATGTTGTTAGGATCCAGATGGGTTTTAAATGTGAACTAGAATGTTGGGAGCTGGGTTACAAGGAAAGGGGCCATAGTACTTCCAGGAGGGAGATATCTCCATTGGTGATGAGTATGGTGTTGGAATTACGTCCACGAGAAAGTATCGTTAATTGTATTGGAAACAAAAAACAAAATACCCCTTTAAAAATGTAAAAATTAGCAAACTCTGCTCTTCTCAAACTCCAAGACTGTAGGGGCAACAATCCAAGGGACTTTTACCCAAGTCTCACTGCTACTGTCTTTCCTGTCTGCCTCCGAAGTGGGTAGAGAGTTACCACCATGTTCTCCACATTCTTGAGCTTGTCTGTCATAGAGATCCTCAAACCCTTTACTCTCTCTCTTCCATCCCTTCCACATACCCTCAGGCCACCTTCACAAATAAGCAATTACTTTATTTTGTAGGCTAGCCAATCATCTGTCAGAGAAACCTGCCAGAATTTGGGGTCTCAGACTTCCCCCAACTCCCATCCCACTTCATTCACTGAAGTTTTAGACGTAACCTGAATTAGATGGGGTTTTCTTTACTTTCTTGGTGTCCTGCTTATTTGTTTAGTTTTACTTATTTCGCTAGTTTCTGACCCAGTGAAGCAAGCAGAACCAGTAGAAAATTCTAATCTATTGTACAACCACTGCAAACTCATACTAATTAATAGTAATAACAGTTCCAAGTTACCTGGTAGTATTTCTTCTCGAGAACTTAGCCAAATACTGCAGACCTGTGACACTGTTGGAATGGAATGATTCCAACCATTTTACAAGGGTTGGAAAAGAGTGTCAAAAATCCACTTTCTGCAGCCTAAAACAGCTCCTATTGTGAAACTGTCTTTTGCCAAATCAACCGGTAATCACCTGCATTTACCTGGGCCCTGGTTACATCTCTAAAGTAAGGTCACACACAAATACAGACACACTCAATTATAATTTCTAAAGTATAACATCATCCTAATGTGCTTATCGATAAAAACAGATCTCAACCTACACACACATTTCCAGTTCCTATTACCACATGCTTTTCAAGTATATGCTCTGAGTGTATAGACAGAAACGTGTGTGTAGAGATATACACATTGACAGCAAACTGCAAAGCGGTGTTTGCTGCAGGGTGCTGGCTTGAGTTCTTGGGGTTCCTCGCTTCTTTCAGAACCCTCTCTTTTCTTATCCACAATATTTAATTGGCTGAAGCAGGCTAAGGGGCCGCTTGGGCTTTCCACATCAGGGTAAGGAAAGGTTGACGCTCCACCCAAGCCCGTTAGCCAGGGTAACTCTGATCCAAGACTCCACAGGGCCTATGATCCACCCTCTGGTCACTTCGTACTTGAGCAGCCTGAGACCTCCAACCCGACCTCCCACCCACCCCACCCCCAATCCGAGCCTTGAGCCTTGCCCTGGGTTCCCCAAGGAGTCTGGGCGAACTCAGCTCTCCTCCCTCCCTGTCTCCTGCTGTGGCCTTGACCGAGCTAAGGGGACCAGGGGCAGCCCAGCCGCTGCCGGCGCCCAGGGTGGCGGCGGGGGGCTGCCTACCAGGGGTGTCGCTGAGGGGAAGGTGGTGTGTTTGCGTCGCTGTCAGCGTGTACTAAGCGCCCGACACACCGCAGGGCCGGCTGCCACGGAGCCACCCAGTGCTGAGAAAAAGAGCAAGAAAGCAAAAAATAAACCCTAAAGAAGAAACGAGGCTCTGAACGGAAACTAGAAAGTGCGTGGGGGCGCTGGGGGTATTCCGGCACCCGGGCAGCGCCGCAGTCTTACGGCAGCTGGCCAGGGGTGGGAGGAAGCGATAGGGCGAGGGGACAGGGGCACACACTGGGGTGACCTCGGACACAGCAGTGCCGAGGACACGGAGGAGACCCTGGGGGACCCCTGGCAGCCCCGAGAGGGCACCTGGGTGGGGGGGGTCTCAGCTCCCGGCCGCACCTCTTTGCCATAAAGGCAGGAGCCGGGTCTCCAGGCCTGCTGTGTGTTTGTGTGTGTGTGGGGGGGGGGGGGGGGTGCGCACCTTCCCGGAGACCGCGACAGAAGGAAGAGGGAGAGATTGGGACGCCCAAAGGGGGCGGCGGGGAGGGGATCGCAGGCGCGGGCGGGGGTCACTTGGAAGCTGCTCACTCGGGGCGTCTTCGCCTCCCAGGAGCGCCCCTCCTGCGGGCAGAGCGCACAGGTGGAAGCTCCGCGCCGTGTCCCCGGCGCGCTCCGACCGCACCTCGCGGGGTACCCGAGCTACAAGTGAGCGGCTGCGCCCGTCCTCGGGGGCGCGAGAGACTTTGGGGGGCGGCGGTTCCTCCTCTAACACCCCGAACCCCGTCAGGGCGTTGGGCAGAGTCCAGACACCGTCCGGGGCTCTCGCTCGCTGAGACCCTCGTCCCCCAGCCCGAGCGGAGACGCTCACCATCCAAGTCCGGCGGCGTCCTGGGATCCCCCCCCCCCACCTCTCCGCCCCCCATCTTCTTATCCTCAGGAGCCCCTTGGCCCTGGTCCACCGAGCGCAGTGCCAGGCTTCTCTCCTGCCACCCGGCACGGCTGTCCAAGCGACTGCTCAAGAAGGAAGGTCTGGGGAGAGGGGGGAAGCTGAGACCGGCCGGGCCTGCACCCCCCAAATGCCCGGATTCGTGTCCAGCGCGCAGGGAGGCGCGGGAGGGGCAGAGCCTTCCTGACCTTTTCCCAGACGGTCGGGGAAGGGGTGAGGCGGAGCGTGCAGGGGGGTCTCGGGCGGGCGGGTGGAGCGATGCCTGGACGTGGCCACAATCCACCGGACTCGGTGACCCGCGGGCCCGCGCCCCGCCTCGCGCGCGGTGCCCCCCCTCCCCAACCCCCTTTTGCCCTTTGCAGACCCACAGACCCTGCCCACAGCCCTCCAACGCCCCCCGAGCCAAAGTTTCCCCGGGCAAACCTGCACTCTCGGCGACCCCAAGCTCCCCAAGCTCCCCACCGCCCTCCCCCCACACTCCCCAACCCCGTGCGCCCGCGCCGGGTTCCAGGACGGGGAAGGACCACCCGCCGTGCCAGGGAAGGCTGCAACTCCCGACGCCCTTACCTGCCTGCAGGTGCCTCCAGAGGCGGCGGCCGCTGCCTCCGGGGAGCCCTCGGAGGGTTCGAGGAGGACCGGCCCGGCGCCAGCTGCGCAGGGCTCAGAGTCCTACAAGCCGGCCGGCCGGCCGCTCGCTCTCTCGATCTTGCAAGAGAAAAAGGCAAAGATTAGTTGGCGCCGCGGCACCCCGAGGGGTGGGGCGGGGAGGCGGGGTGAGGACCGATCCCGGCGCGCTCAGGCGTCCCGGGCACTCAGCGGCTCTGCTGCCCGTCTCCGGGCCGGGGGCGCACCCCGGGCACCCGCCGCCACCCACGCCCACGCCCACGCCCCCACCTCCCCCGACCGCCCCTGGGTGCAGCCCGCAGGACTTTCCAACCTGGTTTTCGCGAAGATGAGCAGGAGAGGAGCGAGCTGGGACCGGGTGGGCGATCCCGGCCGGAGTCATCTCCTCGCCCAGTGCTCGGGGGAGTCGGACCGGGGCCGGGCGGGCGTGGGTGCTGCGGGCCGTTTCCCAGCTGGGATTTCAGCGCTCAGGCCACCCCGCAGGCCGGGGAGTGTACGTGTGTGCGTGTGTGCATGTGTGCATGTGTGCGTGTGTGCATGCGCGCGCGTGTGTGTGTGCGTGCGTTTGTGTGTATGTGTGTGTGTGTGTGTGTCTGTGCGCGCGCGCCTCTGTGCCGGGGCGCCTTGGCGATGGCAGGGGAGCGTGTGTGTGTGTGTGTGTGTGTGTGTGTGTGTGTGTGTGTGTGTGCGATGCGCTGCAATGGGCGGACAATTTGTGGAGAAAACACTTACAATTTTCTTTACCAGATGACAGGATTAGTTGCCGTTGAAGGCGCTCCTCCAATGAGATCTTCTCTGCTTTCTGATTTGGCGGTTCTTCGGAGCAGATATGACAGCCTTTTCTCTGGACTCCGGCCCGCTCCTCTCCACATCCACCCCCCCCCCCAATCCCCCACCCCAACCACCCCCTCCCCCAGAGTCCTGCTTTCCATCTGCAATTTCTACACCAGAGCCGTGGCAATGTTCCACCTTGACCGCCACCCAGTCCCATGCCTGCAAGTGTAGGATTGCTCTAAAGGTGACATGGCTTCTGGGGGACAACGCACTGTTGCTTTCCGATTGCCGAAGATGCTTAAAGCCAGTGTTTCCAGGTGGGGACGTGTTAGAATAAATCCGTTATGTTTTGTAAACATGTAATCGTGCTAAATTCACGGGCTGAGAATGACTTCGAGACGCTGACAAATGCGTGTAGAAGAGGGAGACTTTTTTTTTTTTGGTTTCCCCTTCTTTTAAACACGGGTCAACGTCCATGTTTTCTTTAACTAAGAGGCATGAAATGTCTGAGGATTATTAAGGATGGGTGATGTTTCATGGAATTTGGGGTCCCTAAAATTGTAGGCTGCAAAAATTCTTGTATTCTGTGGAAGCTTACCTTTTCATTTCTTCAATTGAATGAGAAATTCTTCCAAGAAGCGTGCTCATTATTTTCAGGTGCTAATCCCATTTGATAAAGATGCAATGATGTGATTCTAAAGTATGACTGGGGACAAGATTTGATTTTGTGACAATATATGCTATTGGCTGTGTTTTCTCTCTACCACCTTCCTCAGTTAAGTGGAAAAGTGGAAAGTTTAAATTGTGTAATAGAATCACATGTATTACTTTGGGGGAATCACAAAAAAGAAACAGGGAAAGAGATATTTATGAATGCTTTTAATATGTTGAACTAAATTCAGTTCAGTTCTTGAAGTCCACTCTTTACAAGGTATAGAAGAATAACAAAAGTTATCGTGTGCACTTTCTTTATAAGCTTTTGATCTTTTTGCCAAGGAAAGGCAATCTTAGGAAACACACATATATAGCAGTTGATAATCAAGATGATTAATTATGCAGCAGTATAAACTAATTAATGGGAATCCTATAACTGAGTGTCTGCTCTTTCTCGTAGTTAACCCAAAGATATCGCTAAGCAAACTGGTACAAACTTGATTTTATGTGATGGAAAACAGGATGAAGTAATGCATGAAGATTGTGGCACTCTCTTTAGCCTTTATGTTAAGCCATCACTAGAAGGTTATTTATACTTGTGAGGAAATCAAGACTGCTGTCCAGTGTTACTCTTCACCTCCACCAGCATGTGGTCTGTTTCATTAATGATCTTTTCTGTCATTTCTTCTCTTTTAGGTGATGGTTTGAAAATGAATTGGCATCTTTTCCCTTACTCCATAATTTCTATTACACTTTCATGGTGTTCCCTGAATCTTTTAAAGCATATATACTTGTTCAAATGTGCACATGTGTGCATACTTTTTCCTTCTCTCTCTCGCTCTCTCTTTGTCTCTCTGTCTTTCTCTCTGTCTCTGTCTCTGTCTCTGTCTCTCTCTCTCTCTCTCTCTCTCTTTCACACACACACACACACTGCATCATATCAATGCAGAAAAGAGAAGGGGAAAGCTGGCAGCAAACCCAGGGATCTATTGCCATTTTATTCTTTTCTATTATGAATGCCAATGCCTTCTTAGCAACAGGGTGAAACAGTCTCCAAAATGAGCAACACAGCTAAGCCAACCAATCAAGAAAAAATAAAAATATTTTCTTACACTTGAATAAAAGAATGTCGGTTGAGTAGTTACTGAACTGCTAAGTTCAGTAGAGTTTCTGTATTTTCAAGGCTTTTGGAGAGCAACTGCCAACAATCATTTTTTAGCAGTCAGTGAATGATGCTTATTTTATCTGTAAAGTTGAGCTTTATGGTCTTACTTTATACAAATATAGATATAATGTGTCTATTACCATAGATAGCTGTAAACCACTTACCATATGATTTTGAAGAAATTATTTAACTGCTTCGTGTCTCAGTTTTTTAATTTGTAAAAGGAATCTAGTAATATAAGTTCCCCTAATGTTGCTATAAGGGAAAAAGTTCATGCAAAATGTTCAAAAGGGTGTGTGACATTAGTAATGACCTATGATAAGACTGCCAGTGAGGATTTCAAAACATAGACTTCTGGTCATGCCTCTGAGGTACTGAATCAAAGTATTTGCGAGTGGGGTCTTACCAGTGGAAATCACAGTGCTCATCAACCTCATGCCACAAACACATTAACATAATCCGTCATTACACTAATCTGAAGAAACCCTTTCCACTTCCACTTGCAGTTTCTCTTTTTATAAAAAAAAAACATCATGTTGATTCTGCACATTTTATTTTTATCTCCTAAGCCCGTTTACTTTCCAAGATAAAAGAGTGTTCCTTTAAACCAAGAGTGTAGATTTTACCTTCTGTGAGTATGAAACATTCTCAAAAGTGCTTTTTAAAGACTTTGTAGAATGTATTGACAGGTTTCCCTTTATCTACCTGTCTATTTTCCACCTCAAAGAATACTAATAAATTTGTAATCTACACTTGTAAAGCCTAACGTCATTACTCAACATCTCATAAATCTCATTTAAGGTATAAGCTGAAGGGTTCCAATTCTTGAAAGGATTGTCTTTGACTCATTGGGAAAGCTGGATTGTGAGCTTTTGAGACAGACTATAAACAAGGTCATCATTAAGGAGAAAAGAAGGGGAATAGTAGGTCTCATTCCTGGAAAGGTGATGCATATTTTATTGTGTTACCTTGATTTCAGTGCAGCAGTAATTAAATTTCAGTAATTAGATGCACACATCATCTCTGTCAGTACAAGTGGATTACGAGGGTGACAGGTTCAACTGGAGTTATTTCCCAGCAAATATGGCACCCATCGCATTTTCTTTATTTTCTGCTTTTAAAGGGCCGAAACAATGGAGATAAAGGCTTTGCTTGTAGGGGAGAATGGGCCCAAAGCAGTAGCTCTTGCCTAGTTCATCTCTTACACATGGCTATTAGGGTCAACGCAGAAAATGCAGCATTATCAACAGGAGGCTCAGGGAAAGCAGGTTGATTGATCTGATGTACATCAAAGAAAACTTTCTATTCCTGGACCTCAGGTTGAAACATACAATCCTGAGTTAAAAGTGAACCCCCACTAGTTGACAATCATTGCCTAAAACTATCTTTCTGTCCCCTTGTTTTGAAAAATTAATAACAAGCTTCTTAATGAATGCACCATTCTTAGGTACTTATATATTTTCCCCTAAAATCCTTTCCAGAGAATTATTTAAATGCTCCTATTCTTTAGCCACGAAAGATGATCTCTTTCTCTTTATAGAAAACCCTAAGCTTCCTTTTTTCATGGTCTGAGCTAGTCTCCAGACCATGCAACACCCATTTCCCTATACAAATGGGACTGATTCTGAGTGAAAACGTTTGGTTATGTCTAACAAACAATGCTTTGCTATTTTTTTCTTTTCCTTGTTTCTTGAAGTTTGGCATCGCAGCTGTTTTAAACTCATTCTCTCCTAGCAGTGGTAGTGTTATCCAAAGCCTGAAAACATTGACTGCTGCTGAGTCTAAAATATTTAAAATACAGAGCTCTTTTCAAACAGGGGTATACTAAAGAGTGGGGAGGGGGTGAAGAAAAGAGAAATATAAATAAGGAAAGAAAAAAGACTGCCCTGTAAAGTGCCAAGCAGCTGCAATGGTGATAAATCAGTGTTAAGAATGCAGAATAAAAGTCACGTGGCAAGCATGTTTACTTAGAGAAGCATCTAGTATAAGTATGTGAATTCCTACTTCCAGGAGGCAAGCTGAGATCTACTATGGGGATGAACCTGTAAGAGAAGGACTACTGAGAAATTTCAGCAGCTACTTCAGAGTCTATTTTGACAAACAGCTTAAACCTCACCTTAAAAACTTTTTAAAAAATTGATTGAGATTCTGTAATTTATAACATTGTTAACAACGTTTTCTCATATGCACATAATTCCAGCATCACACTGATCACCAGTGTACCTACATTTCTCTCGGGAATCCCCCAAACCCCTCCTTTTAAATTTCTTCCTTTAACAGCCTCAGACAGATGCTAGGGATCTCAATGAGAGATAAGATTGATATTTTAGCAAGTTCAAAGGGAAAGAATTATCAAATTCTTCTCTGGGAGCAGGATCACGATTATTTTCCTCCAAGGCTCTTTGTTTTGTTGCATAAAATAATAACATAGGAATATTCATGATCTTTTGAGTATGTAGAGAAACCCAGTTTCTTGGAATTCAGAGTGAAATCATGCTTGTGAAAACTCACATAGTTTCTCAGATTGATTACCTGTTATCTTAAAGTTCTTAAGCTAATTATAATGGACCTTCAAGAGAAAGGCAGACATGCTCACCGATTCCAAAGAGACAGCTTTCTGAAAACACTACAACAGGCAGCCTTGGTGTGACCTGCAATCCGTTTCTTGAGAGGGATTAAGATCTCTGTGATGCTGAAAGTTATGTTTGGCCAAAGCAAGACCCAATGACTATATCTGGATTTTGGTTTTTGTTTTTATTTGGTATGGGTGCCACACTCCTGACTTGGTAATCAGGGGCCAATCCTGGCAGTGCTCCAGGGCACCTTGTGGGTGCTGAAGATTGAGCCCAGGTCTCCTGCATGCAAATCATGCACTCACTCCTAGGAGCTAGTCTTCAGTTTCCTCAGTGTCTTATAATCGCTCCATATAGGACTTTTATCTTTAAAAATAGACTCTCTGAGGAAGGCATCCCAAGAAGCATTCCCTAAAGAGTTCCTGATTATTGTGCCTAATAAAATAGATTCTGGGTTCTGTGTCCTTTCTTCCTCACTTAATCAGCAAGGTGACTGGGCTTTGTGCTGAAGGACCTCATTTATAAAATCTTATGCAAAGTATTCTATAAATCCCTGCAGAAAGGCAAGAGACAAGGCCACTGGCAAAGTCAATGTATGTGCTATATTTCTACAAGGCTTTTATTGGCAAACATGTTTCTAGAAAATGAGTTAATTTGAAAAGAATGCCAATAAACTTGTATTGGTAATCACTGAATGTCTTCAATACCAACCACTCAAAATCTGCCTCTATAGCTCTGAAGTTTCACACCATAGGTTCCTGTCCTTTAATTAATTAGGATGTGGACTATACAGGTTCTCCTGCATGGTTGCAATCCTCGGAAAATGCTCTCTGTTGGGTTTCTTTGTTTTATTTTCAATCTCATGTAAATAGAATGCCATAGCTCAGCTTCTTTCTGCAGCAAGGGGAATGAGAGATTGTGCCTGAAAATATGTCTGATGAAACCTCTCAGAATTAAATGATTTGGAGAATGGAAATTGTTTCAAAAATATTTATCTACCCTTCGGTATTCTCTTACCAATTAGTGCAACAAAGATAGATGATATTTTCTGCCCTCTAAAAGCTAACCCAGACGCAAAGAACATAAACAGGAAAGTTGTTCTTAGGCACCACAGATAACATAGCCCATGGGGGAGGTAAGAAGTGTTTAATCTTATTACTTTTTGCTACCTCTAAAATCAGTTATCTGAACTTCGACTAACTAGCTAAGTTAGACTGTCACCTGGAATTTGGAAGTTATGACAACTCAGGGCTTCTGAGGGAGCTACTCTGAAGGATAAAATACTAGTTAAATATTTACATACAAGTGGTACTACATGGAAAGTATCATGTTAAGCGAAATGAGTCAGAAAGAGCGGGATAGACACAGAAAGATTGCATTCATCTGGGGAACATAAAGCAACAAAAAGGGAGATTAACACCCAGAATTGGCTGAGATTAGTACCAGGAATTTTGCTCCATGAATGGAAGGCCAGCCACAGGCTCTAGGTGAAAAGGAAGCTCAGATAGAGAAGAGAGTACCAAATGAAGGGTGTTGTGAGGGCCCTCCCAGGGTGGGAGAAGCATGCTAAAAGTAGTCGATAGACCAAACATGATTGCCACTCAAATCCTCTCTTGCAAAACACAGTACCCAAAAGAAGAGAGAGAGAACAAGGGGGAATACCCTGCCACAGAGGCAGGATGGGACGGGGGGGGGGGGGGATGAGGGATGGGGGGAGGATGCTGGGACCCGAGGGGATGGATGACAGGCACTGGTGGAGGGATGGGCACTTGATCATTGTATAACTGAAACCCAAGCACAAAATTTGTAAGCCTATAACTGTACCTCATGGTTTTTCACTAATAAAAAAAGAAAAAAAAATATTTACAGAAAGGAGCTGGAGGGACAGTACAACGGAGAAGGCTTTTGCCTTGCACACAGCCAAACTGGACTGAATCCCCAGCACCCCATATGGTTCCCCAAGCACTGCCAGGAGTAATTCCAGAGTATAGAGCCAGGAACAATCCTTCACCATCACCAGGTATGGCTACAAAATATAAACAAAATATTTAGAGAGAACTTCGAAA